CATGTTCTTGGCCTGGCATCTAAAGCCTGTTTTACTGCAGCTGCCACAATTTGCCCTTGTTCATTAATGTCTCTGGCATCTAAAGCCTGTTTTACTGCAGCTGCCACGACTTGCTCTTGTTCATTAATGTCTCTACATAATTTAATATATGTGTTTAAATCTTCATGTTTCCATGGTCTAATGATATCTCTGCACCAACGATTCGCTTGCTCATAAGCCAGGTGTTTTAGTAATGGCATTGCTTGTTCTGTATTCCCAAAAACTCTGGTAGCTGTTTGAATAAGCCTATCTACAAATTCAGCATAAGGTTCATTAGCTCCTTGTATTACCTTAGATAATTGACCTTGTAAACCTCCATGTCCTTGTAAAGTCTTCCATGCCTTAATTGCATCTGCAGCAATTTGTGCGTATACACCAGGATCATATGCAATTTGTTGCTGCTGATCCTCATAAGGTCCCTTTCCTAACAACATATCTAGATTTCTCTGAGGATAACCAGCTGCTGCATTTCGCCTAGCCGTCTCCTTGCAAAATTCCTCATTGGCAACCTTCCATAACAGGTATTGTCCTCCATTTAGCACAGCTTTACACATATTAGCCCAATCTGTTGGCGTCATGTTCAAGTTGTTAATGGATTCGACCATGCTTACAGTGAAGGGTGCTTGAGGACCATAGGTTGTTACAGCCTCTTTTAGCTGCTTCACTGTTTTGAAATTTAAAACTTGGTAAAATCGCTGCCCTCCTGCCTCAAATACAGGGCATGTTAATATTTGAGATCTTGTCTCAGGATCCCAACTATCAACTGCGGGGGTTGGGGACCTCCCAGCATATGGAGGTGGCCTTGTTAGTTGGACACTTACGTCCTCTGGTGATAGAAAGGTGTTAGTAGCAGTCTCCTGTAGAGGTGGTGCTGTTGGTTGGACACTTACACCCTCTGGTGATAGAAAGGTGTTAGTAGCAGTCTCCTGTTGTAACTTTCCCCCTGATGGCTTTTTCTGTTTTACACTTTCTTTCTCTGTCTGACTAACTTGAGAGGCCTTCTCTTTTACTTGAATCTTTTCCTCTGTCTGACTAGCTTGAGAGGCCTTCTCTTTTACTTGAATCATTATGTCTTCTCCTTCCTCTACTATTGTCTGAACTGAAGGCTTTGGACTAAGCAAACAAGACACCAACGCCCACAATGTCAATGTGCCAACTGGCAGAGTCCCTGGACTTTTCTTTTCTATTCTTTTTAAATCTTCACCATGATGGTTCCATTGTGATATATTTAACAACTCCTCCTTAAAAAGCCATGGGCTACATTTTTGTATTGTATCAACGTATGCCCTGACTGCTATTGATTTTACTGGGATGCCTCCTTCCTCTAACAATTTACTTAACACTCTTTCAGTTTGTTTTTTACTAATTTCTGATCCCGTATTTCTACTATAATACAACCCAACAAGATGACGCCTAACAAAACTGAAACAGAGTGAAACAAAATTGAAACAACACAAAATCATTATAATAGCCTCCTGAAATGTCCATCCGTCCTTTCTCCCTATCTGTTCCTCAGATGTGAGCGGTTTTTCTTCCATCTTACACATCTCCAGGGACAGGCAACTTAAAACAAAAGTGAAACAAAGTAACAAAAGAAGAATCTTAAAATGGCTACCCATCCTCTCGCCCTGCCCTCAGGGGCGAGCAGTTCACTTACCCTCAGTCGCTCCCCGTGCGGGCCACCAGATGCCGCAGTCTGGCTGGGCACAATCAGGAGCCACTTGTCAAAAGAAACTAACTTTATTTTTAGAACCAAACACGCCAAACAAAACAGCCTCTCAGGAAAAACCCTCAGAGCCTCAACTGCCACCACCTGCTTTCCACAAGCCTGTCTCTCCCCCCACAAGCTTCTTTCCACCTCCCACAATCCTCCTGCTCTTGAGGCCGATTGGCTGGGTCACGTGGGCAGAGCCAAAAAGTCCCCCAATGAGCAGCTCCGTGGTCTGAAAGGGCAGGGAAACAGTCCAATGAGCATCACCGCAGAGGAGCCAATCAGCTAGATGTTGCTGGGGCCGAGGAGCCAATCAGCTAGATGTTGCTGGGGCCGCTGTGAGCCAATCATCAGCCGGCAGCTGGATTGCTGGCAGCTGGAAGTTTGCTGGGGCCCCTTCGGCTGTGGCTCTCAACATCTCCAAACCAGAGCAAGAAGGGGGAGGGTGCTCAGAACCAGGGAAAGAAAGGGGACGGGGCTCAGAACCAGGGCAAGAAAGGGGAGGGGGTTCAGAACCAGAGCAAGAAAGGAGATGGGGTTCAGAACCAGGGTAAGAAGGGGGATGGGGCCCAGAACCAGGGTAAAATATTGGAGGGAACGCCAAACCAGGGCAAGAAGGTTGAGGGGGCCTAATCAGGGCACAAAGACAGAGAGTGTCACGAACCAGGGGAAAAAAGTTGAAGGAACCCCTAATCAAAGCAGAAAAACAGAAGGAACTCCCAACCAGGGCAAAAAGGCAGAAGGGTCTCCCAACCAGGGCAAAAAGATGGATGCAGCTGCCAATCAGGGTAAAAAGTCAGAGTCAGTTCCTGTCCAAGGTAAAAATGCAGACATGGTCCAGGGCCAGGAGGCACCAAAGCAAGAGGCTCCTGCAAAGAAGAAATCTGGTTCAAAGAAAAAAGTGTCCCTGGATTCCAATAGCCCTCTGTACCTGCCTTACAAGACACTGGTCTCCACAGTTGGAAGCATGGTATTCAATGAGGGTGAGGCCCAGCAGCTCATTGAGATCCTGTCTGAGAAGACTGGCATCATTCAGGACACCTGGCATAAGGCCACTCAGAAGGGCGACCCTGTGGCAATTCTGAAACGCCAGCTGGAAGAGAAGGAAAAGCTGCTGGCCACTGAGCAGGAAGATGCAGCTGTTGCCAAGAGCAAACTGAGGGAACTCAATAAGGAGATGGCTGCAGAAAAGGCCAAGGCAGCGGCTGGTGAAGCCAAGGTGAAAAAACAACTGGTGGCCCGGGAACAGGAGATTGCAGCTGTGCAGGCTCGCATGCAGGCCAGCTACCGTGAGCATGTGAAGGAGGTGCAGCAGCTGCAGGGCAAGATCCGAACTCTTCAGGAACAGCTGGAGAATGGCCCTAACACCCAACTGGCCTGCCTGCAGCAGGAGAACTCTATCCTGAGAGATGCCTTGAACCAGGCCACAAGCCAGGTAGAGAGCAAGCAGAATGCAGAGTTGGCAAAGCTCCGGCAGGAGCTCAGCAAGGTCAGCAAGGAACTGATGGAGAAGTCAGAGGCCTCGAGGCAGGAGGAACAGCAGCGGAAGGCTCTGGAAGCGAAGGCAGCTGCCTTTGAGAAGCAGGTCCTGCAGCTGCAGGTGTCTCACAAGGAGAGTGAGGAAGCTCTGCAGAAGCGCCTAGATGAGGTCAGCCGGGAGCTGTGCCGCACACAGACCAGCCATGCCAGCCTCCGGGCAGATGCCGAAAAGGCACAGGAGCAGCAGCAGCGGTTGGCAGAGATGCACAGCAAATTACAGTCCTCTGAGATGGAGGTGAAGAGCAAGTGTGAAGAGCTGAGTGGTCTTCATGGGCAGCTCAAGGAGGCCAGGGCAGAGAATACACAGCTCACAGAAAGGATTCGGTCCATTGAGGCCCTGTTGGAGGCAGGCCAAGCCCGGGATAACCAGGCCAGCCAAGCTGAAGCCGACCAGCAGCAGATGCGTCTCAAGGAGCTAGAATCACAAGTATCATGTCTGGAGAAGGAGGCCACTGAGCTCAAGGAGGCTGTGGAGCAGCAGAAAGGGAAGAACAATGACCTCCGAGAGAAGAACTGGAAGGCAATGGAGGCACTGGCCTCGGCTGAGCGGGCCTGTGAGGAGAAACTGCGTTCCCTGACCCAGGCCAAGAACATGCTACAATTGTGAACAAACAGGACATTTTAAA